TTCCGGAGGATGTATTGGTGGAAGTACAGTGGACATTCGCCAATTGGTGAGAGTCCAGGTAGTGTGCTGGCGAAAGTACAGTGGACTTTCGTCACTGGCGAATGTCCGGTTGGCGAAAGTCTTATTGGCGAAATTCTGGTAAGCCTCCAAAACAGCATAGAAGACCTGTCGATCAAAATATATCAAGAGATTCTGAAAAAAATCTAGAAAACAAAGAATATGAGTTAATAAGAAGAATCTTAGAAACTTCATAAAATGCACAAGCCATCGAAATTCAATGAAGTCAAGAAACCTAGAAATTCTACGCATATCAACGAAGTCTAGAAACTCATTGAAACAAAAGAAACAACGAAACTCAAGAATCCGTCTGTAAATAGGAACTTTTAGAAATACAAAGTAATAAAGAAAGCTGTCATATTAAACGAGCTACAGTAATAACTTGATCGTCAGAAACCTAAATCGCTTACAGTACTCAAATAATCAATGAAACTACAAGAAACCTGGTAATGAAAGGACATAAGAAAAAATGAAGAATTCGCAGGAACATTCGCACCGGCATTGATAAAAGAACTATGTGAAAATGTAAATTGAACGATTTTACGGTTAGTTCTTTTTTGTTTTCATGCCTGAAGTTTACGAAGATTTGAGTTACCCATCACATAGATGCTCATCTTTTCATTAAAACCTGAACGGAAAAAGTTTAGACGCGGAACCGAATTTGATTGATTCCGACCAACGAGGACAATCTTATGCATACTTTTACATATAGCATGAGAATATAAGTTACCTGAACCAAGGCAACCACAAGATTATATAGTTCACTTGTTTTAAATACGTTAATTTCTAATCATAAATTCTTTCGTTCAGGTATGTTTTGCTTCACAATTCAAAGCGTTGGTATAAGTAACAACATCTGTTCTGTTTATACGATTTTGAGAAACGTTAACTATTACAGGGTGTGGCTGACTAAGCATCACCAATCGCTCAGAACAAGATGGTTGTTTTTTCAAAAAAGATCAAAAGCGCGTTTCGAAACGGTATGACACTGAAAAAACTTCTGGCAGCTGTCACTGTCGAATAACTCTTATATGTTTAGCCATTGCCCAATTATAATACGATCATACCGAAGTTGATGTCCTACATCGAGTGAACAAAAAAAATCAGCTTTTTCGTTAACGAGTGACTCTAAGTGGTCGTAAAATCATATCTTGCTCCTAATTTTTACTTGATGAGCAATTAGGTAACGAGCTTGTAGTAGTATAATGTAATTTTAGAAGTCACTCTCAAGAACCACTTGTTCAATCATACGAGAACTCAACGAATCGAGCTGTGTTCTCTGTTCGAGATAATGCGAGACCTTCAATTGGACCCGATTATGTCTATTGTTCTTTAATAACAATACCAAGACTAGTATTGCCAGAGAAATTTCGAACTTTTCAAAAGCAACTAAAAGATGCATTATCGAACTGTATCTTATTTAGACGAAGCTTTAAAACATCTTTGCATCAGTTATGCGTATTGAACGCAATTTAGGAATAATAAACTTTAAGAAGAACATCCTTCACATGAATATGAATGAGAGTAGTAGCAGTTGCAAAGTGTCGCTTGATTTTTACATTGCAACTAAAAGTTGGGTGCTGGATGTGGACGGATTTGAGTGTCCTGAGCTAGTTACCCATACTCACAAACTAGAGTTCACTCTTTCTTTTGCATTTGCATAGAATTGTCGTCTTATAAAAGGATGAGTGAAGAGGAAATCTATCAGTTACAACCAAAACTTCGGCTTTTTTTCCTTAGTGTGCCCTGATTGATCAATGGTTCATGATTTTCCATATAGCCATATCTTGATATCAAAAAACAATTATATTACTAGAAAATAAAAGCAAATCTAATTCAACAAAAACGAAACAATATAGTTCGCATTTTAGTTATTGAGGAAAACAGGTTGTCCTATCTTGAGTAAGTTTCCATAACGGTTTAACTGATTTGAACTTTTCAACAGAGAAAGCATTTCTTACGAAAATACTGGCTACAAATAAGTTTGATTAGCGACTATCCGGATTCAATAATCTGAATCTATATGGATGATTCGGCAGGAAATGCATTTAGCTACAAAATATTTATAAAACAAGTTATCAACTTAGAGCCTTTGATAGATATGTGAGAGATCAACTCTTTTTGGTCTTGGTCTTGGTAAAATTTTACTGTTTGATTCCGATTCCATTCGGGCCTCGGCGTTCCGACGATTTTTTTTTAGTCCTGTACATCTCAAGTCCTTAGCCCCCAAGAACTTTGAGAAAGTTGGCGGAGAAGTTGCCACTTTTTCAAAAACAAACGTTTAATTTCGTATTAAAATTCGATGCACAAAATATTCGATTACTGATGAAAAGATTAAAGATTAATAACGGCAATTAATCAGCGCCTCCTACTAAATTCATCCTTCTCAGGAATAATTTTAATTAACCCATTCGCCACAATTCAGTTTTCTTGAAAAAAGTCGGCGATTTGAAACTCTATATCTATCTTCGCATTTTTGAAGCACAATTTTTCTTTGATTTATTGAATTTCGACAAAAGATCGATTGCTGAAAAGCAAGGGTTGAGATCAACAGATTGATTTGTACTGAACAAATATAGGTCGATCCGTTTTATCGATTGATTTGCCATTCGAGAAGCTGAAATCGGGTCCAAGACAAAAATCAATAGGCCAAACGAAGCGCAAACTTGCTGATCATAAGCTCGAAGAAAAAGAAGGATCTGCTCGCGATGTCTGAAGACGCTGTGCAGGCTGCTATAAGAAAATCAGGCAACAACAATCAAGAGAAGCGAGCTTGGCGACAGCAAAAAAAGTAAAATTCTTCTGTTCTGATTGTGACAAGGTTTTTTGTCTTGATTGTTTTAACGAGAAACATTTTACTATGCAATAAATAGTTCAAAAATTAGCTAAGGCAAAGCAGAAACAACATAATATGTAAGCTACTACCTGCGAAAAAGGGAAAAGAAAGTGTTTTTCTATTCAGTTCCTTATCAACATATAGTGAGACCCACCGGTGGATCTCATCGTGGCGAATGGGTTAAGAAAAAAGCAAAAGAAAGTGCTTTTCTATACAGTTTCTCGTTAAACTATAGCGTCGCCCACCGGCGGGCGATATCGTGCCCAATGAGTTAATTACTATCTAGATGAAATAGAAAACTATAAGAAGTAATCCATAAAAACTAGTATTCTTGGTATCTCTGACATGTTCTTTTTCCATAAACTGAAAAATTACTTTTTTTGACGGCATTTGCCTTTTATAGCGTGAGTCCAAGATTCAAAAATCTCAGGAGGATCGTTACAGGAGGTCTGATGACAATTATATTACTGTATAGGAAATATACATTGATTCATTAAAACTATCATATTTACGATCAACATACGTCAAATGACATATCTGTATGTGTTGAGATTTAAGGATAAAAATAAAGTTTTTTTCGAGTCTCTGGGGTATCCAGGTCGAAAAACACGTCATGTCACATATCATCAATTGGAATAGCGCAATATGGGAATAATCCACATATGAAAACTGAATTGTCAACATTCTTTGAAGAAACCTTTTCTACTGTAATAGTATTTTCGTATCAAAGGGATAAAAAGAACCAAGATATTCAATCAAATCAAGTTTACCTTGCATTTTGTATGCATTTGCTAGTAATATTTTAAAATATTTCGGTATTATTCTGTTTTGAACAGCTCGCAAACCTTGTAACAAACCGTATTCAGCAACGCTATCTAATGCTACTTCATAGAAATTGTCTTTATCTGGGATTTGACTTTTCTCCAATAATTTAAATAATTTTGGACGATAGTATTCACGTAAAGCTTGAAATAATACCGGTTGCTTTTTATTTATTAGCTTAAGCATTGTACTTTCATTCATATAGTTAGAAAATTTTTCTATAGATTTTAAACCACCATCGGTTATTGTATGCCATAAATCATTGAATGCATTTGTTTCATCGAAAAATTTGTCATCAATACCTTCAAATAGAAGTTGCAAAACAATCGATAATATTGGAAAATCTTTCAGCCACTTATTCTCCCACTTATTCCCATATATAGCTGTACGATTCAAAACAGAGTTATAATTGACAGTATCTTTATGATCTTCTAAAAATTTCATAAACCATTGATTGGAAAGACCATATTTTATTTTCCATTGTAGTTCTATATATTTTTTCAGAGATTTCCTCAATTTGCCATCCTTTTCATTTAGTGCTGCTGCATAGATATATGGTAGAAGCTCTTCTTCGTACTTGGACAATGATCGGAGACCATTTTCTAACAAATCATTAATAATTTCATCTTTTGTTTCATGTTCTTCCAAATCAAGAGCGCGTATTATTTCATGCTTGGCTAATTTTAATGCTTCATCATCAACGACATTGTCAAGCTTTCCTGTTGAAGAAAATTTGATGATTAATAAATTAGAAGAGGACGTAAATTATTGTGTGTGGATGGGAGCAAAAAGAAGACACATACTCGCGATCACTCCAAAAAAAGTTGAAAGATTCAAAATGTCCTATGACCGAAAGAAATGCATGACAGTGTATAATAGGATCCATCGATGGAAAAATTGCTCGCATTTATGGAGTGATGCTGCTTTCTGTCTCGAGTCGTATATATCAAGAAAAAATAGACTGAAAGCATATACACATATTCATCATTCACGATGTTCCTCTGTACATTTCCATTCAATTAGTCGTCTATTCCTTATGGTAAAAAGATGACAGGATTATTATCTGCTCTCAAGTTATTTTCCACTTCTACTTGTGAAGGTACACTCTAAAAATATAGGTATTCTCGGAAACCAACAAAAAAAAAGTTTCCAAGGGTTCGGAAACCTTTTTTCGTTGATTCCCGAGAACACATATTTTGTTTTTACAGTGTAGAAACTGTTGGAGATTTCTTCTTTGTTCATACAGAATTTCTTCTCGCTCAAATGAACACAAATAATGCCTGCTTTTTATTAAAAGAAAGCATTCATTTTACTTATCAGCTGTGAACGAATTTACTTCTTGCCTTCGGCGGGTATTGCTTATCTCTAAGAGTATACGGATGAATGCAAGATTGACATTCTCTATTAGCGAATAACTAAGAAAAATATAAGAGAAATAACTGTAAACGAGAAGGTGGTTGATTTTACGAGACTCTTTTTATTGTACAAACCATGACGTCACTACAATGAGTAGCTGTGAATGTGGGCATAGTGCTGGTGTCTGTGTATGTTTTGACATATTCATTACTCACATCTATCTTGACAGCTACATTGATACCAATGGGGACACCCACATTCGCACTTACAACGTTACTGACTAATCAACCATTCTGAGGGTACTGAATCAGTCAATCTCGAGCTTGGAGAATAATCTAGTTGACATTTTAGCTTTGCTTTAAAGTTAAAGCTGAAGTCGGCAGGCATAGCTATAGGCGTTGATGTTGGTTTAACTAGTGATAATGAAAACATTCACAACTATCCTTGTAAAAGAAAAAGAAACCAACTGTCCGCACGCATCATTGAGTTACCTGCTTCAGCACGTGCAGTAACACTATTGGTTGATAATGGTCCTTCTATCGTTTTCTTAATGTTATGATCAGTCATAATTCGAGAAATAAGTTCATCAAGTTGAACAACAACAGCTTTCACCTATAGACAGGAAATTATAAAATACAGTCGAGTTCATTCAACTCAATTTTACTTTTGTATATTTGCTAGCCCATTTTTCATTAATTTCTTTATTCATACAATATACATATATTGACATCACTTGTTGAAGGTTGTGAACAGAAGGCACTATTTCTCTTCCCAATTGGCCGCTAACAATCATTACTAGCCGATCTTTTTCTGATCGTCCTTCAATATATTTCTGACATTTGGCTCCATCTTGAAACTTCTTGAAACGATTAATATTAGAAGCCAATTTTTGTTCTGTAATTCGAATTGCCTTATCATCCACATTAGCATCAAGCCAAATGACATCGAAGATCACTGTAAGAAAAATTCGTGGAGTAATACACGGAAAAATATGTTTTTGATAATGACAAAAACGGAGACAGAGTTTATGAGTTTGAAACGAAATATAAACTCTTTTTTCCCATACATGACGAAGATAATGAACGATTTTTCTGTTTATGATCTGAAAAATATTCCACTAAGTATTTCAAAAACAGAAAAGGATTCATGTTTCGTTGTAAATTCACGAAGTCTGTTTCTTTACAATGACGAAATGACGGATATTATCAGCACTTTCGTGCAATATTAATGAAGGTAAATGCATCGAACAGAAATTTTGAATGTTGATTATTCGGTTTACTTATCGAAAGTATGCTTGTCTCTGACACTTAAAAATGAACCTTACATTCACTTTTATTATTCTACTTAATAGTATTTGTAGTATTGTTTTTCTTCTAATGTGGATATGAAGACAAGAAAAGAATAGGATGTTGGAATAGTTCGACGAAAGTAAATTTGATTGGGTGTGGGTATGGGTGTGAGTATGAACCCATAGTGGTACTCACCACATCCACATTCATCCTTGAAATCGAACAAAAGTTCACTGTCACTTAGATCTTTACAGCAAAATCAATATTCATGATTTGCTAAATCGGATAGAAGAAGTTTCAGTTTAAGTGATGAAAGATCATGTTCTGAGAAATAGAATAAAAAATTTTAGTAAATAATTATTGTCATTCAAATCTAGGAAAAGAAACGTTTTCGCAAGCTATATTTTAGTTGTCAGTAGAACTTTTTAGACTACGTAACAAATGGTGTAGACTACTATCATCGGTCATGCTTAAATGAATGCAAAGATTTATTCAATGTTGATAGAAATAGAAGGTAATGCTCCCAAAATTGAAAAACTATTACGAAACTTCAAGAGTTTTTCAAAAGAAACACTCTAATAGAGTCGAAATTTGGTTTCAAAGTATATTAAAACTTGACTATTTTCCAAAAAGCTAGATATGTTCTGAAAGAGAAAACATCACTGCATGTTCATAAGATAAAAAGTCAATTTCGAGTGTTTTTTAGAAAATAGGAATTTTCTAAAAGAACCGTAAACAGTTAGCATAGTTCATTATATTTATTGTATCAGAAGTTTACATACTTTTTTCTAGTATAGAATATTTTTTTATAATTTGTAGCATGTCAAACAAACACGTAGTTGAGTTTTCGTATGAATGTTACCCACAGAAACAATTTCACTTGCACTACATACATCTCGTTTGACAGAATTCTCAAAAGAGTTCAAACAATAAATCACTAAAACCTCTCTATCAAAACAGAATCTTATAGAACTATTTTAAATAGTAAGGATATTTCTAAGTTAAAAATTGATACCTCTCTAGTGAAATTTGAAATGTTTTAATGAAAAATAAGAACGAGGTATATAAAATATTATGCGATATATTTCGAGATAGACAGTATTTTTATAGAAGTTATGATGATGTTTGATTTTTGTATTTTCCTACGATATTCTTAATATGCGAACCATTTCGACAAAAGGAAGATTCCAAATCTAAGAATTCCTTTTCTTTCTTGAGATATCAACAATCATCTCTTGTTCATATGAATGGTTTCATATAGACTTAAATAGATTATTCTTTTGTTCACGCACAACACAGAGTGGAATAATATACAATCGATGTTCACACATATAGACAGACATCGCTAGTAAAACCATCTTATGAATAAGCATGGAAAAATAATCGTAACATTAGCATACAAGTACAAGCATATGCATCTATTTCTATATCATGCATTTCTGTAAGAAACATGAGAGAAATAAAAATGAGTTTGAAGAATCGTATTTGTATAGAATTCTCTTGTAGAATGATGGATGGATGCTGATCTTGTCTTCACTGATTTATACATTCACTTAGTCAAAAATGAATATGAACTAACTAAACTGTTCATGATTCTGATCTGCACTTTTTCCTGTTCAAAAATGAATCATTACCTGAAGATTTCTTTGGAGATACAGGAACTGGTTCAAGTAATAGATATGTTGGATCTGTTTCTTTAACTTGTATTATATGAAGTCTATTACCAGAATCGAAACACGATTTAACTTTAAATTGTGTGGCTGGAAGCAAAAGAATTTCATCTTCCTTTGGTAAAAACGAATGGTTTTTAATATTTTTTCCCGTATGACACTCGATTTGAAATAAAGTACGGGTTCCACTTTTGCCTAAGAACATTTCAGATTCCAACACCTTGATGGATGAGGTACAAGACGAAAACCCCCACCAAATGAAAGTACTACCTTCCGGATAGTCTAAGTGTAAGTCTATTCGGACTCCTCTATTAACGAAAAGTCGTTCGGATGGTAAGCGAGCCAATGCTGTCAATACAAGTCTTAAAAACAAAAACCAAGGAACCAGCTTTTGTCTTTCTTCGGAACGTAATGTTTCGTTGAGAATGACGTAGAGAGAATATTCATGAGGCATTGATTCGTACGTATAGAGCATAATTGAAGCAGATTCATCAGTTGTTAAACCATCTGCTGGGTTTTTACAGTTCTGTTTGATAATGTGTACATTACGTTCGACTTTTGGTACGATTTTAACTAGTGGCTTAACTGCGTCTTCAATTGATACAAGTGGCGCGTTCTCGTAGCCTTCAATTGGTGCTAGCATTCGCTTTGGTAATGAACTGAAATCGCTGACGCGAAGAGACATTGATTTATAAACATCGTTGGCATCCATTTGAAAGTTGATAATCTACAAGAACGGGATTTTATTTTTCAAAAATATATTGTGACCACTTTATTTTTTGAGACAATCTGTTCAAGATTATTTAAATTTTTTGTGAGACTAGATTGCTTAGTGAGATATCACAACGCTTCTAAAGAAACAAAATTTCGGCTATGTCAAAAGCAAAACTTTTATAACTTGTATGGACTTACAAGTTTTTGAAATTTCTATTTTTTCTTCATTTTCTCTTGTGAAAGAATCAACATGCTACTTATTTAGAGAACAACGTGAGTTCTGCATATTTTCTAATGAGAGACATGGATTCCACAAGTACCTCGGAATTTGTTCTTATAACTGCGAATGTCTACAATTTATTATTTTTTGTATCTCAGTTTTTGAACAACGTATCAACGAAGCTCAACTTAGAATTATCTGTGGGTATGTCATATAATCAGGGGCATTCAGCTACAGGCTCCTATGAATTTATCATGGACATATTGATAGGCTACAATAAACTATGCTTTGAGAGTGTTGGTGTGGGTGTGGGTGTGGGTGTGGGTGTGGGTGTGGGTGTGGGTGT